TGTTTGTGGATGATTTCTCTCGATATTCCTGAATTTACCTGATGAAATCCCGCGATGAAGTACCATCCTTGGTGAGGCAATTCCACCAGATGGTATTAACACAGTTTGGAACCAGAATAAAGATGTTCAGATCTGCCAATGCTAGGGAATATTTTGAGAGACATCTTGCCTCATATCTATTGGAGTATGGTGTTGTCCATCAGAGTAGTTGCTTCTACAGTCCACAGCAGAATGGTATTGCAAAGAGGAAGAACAGACACATTGTTGAGACGGCAAGAAGCATGATGATCACAGCTACAGTTCCGGTTCGTTTTTGGGGTGATGCTGTTTTCACGGCAGTATATCTAATTAACAGGGTGCCTTCTCGTATACTTAGATTCAGCACTCCATTCAGCCTTCTTTTTCCTCAGGATGAGATGTTTCATATTCCTCTAAGGGTGTTTGGGTGTGCCTGCTTTGCACATATCATTGGTCCTTACCGTTCGAAGCTTGATCCCAAGGCAAAGAAATGTGTCTTCCTTGGATATGCAAAGAATCAAAAAGGGTACCGCTGCTATGATCCAGTCTCTGGGAACCGGTTTGTTACTATGGACATTACCTTTTTTGAATCTACGTACTTCTTCTCAAGGAATCCTTCTCAGGGGGAGTGTTTTGGGGAAGTAAGTCAGCAGTCTATCCCTCTCCCAGTTCCAGTCCCTGTGTCTACTACTGTGCTTGACCACCACCCAATGTCACCTACCTTGCCACCTCCTTTGCGTTCCGTCTCACAGCATTACTCACGGCAGAGACTTCATAAGGCGGTTGATTCCACTAGAGCAGAACTCACACCACTTCCTGTCGATCCCTTGGAGACTCCAGATTCGGTTGATACAGATTCAGGTATTCCTCTTGATCCCACTACTATTTCAGTTCCCATTGATCCTATTAACATTGTTACAGATAACCTTGATCTCCCTATTGCTCTTTAAAAAGGGAAGAGAAAGTGCACTGCTCATTGCATTTCACAATACTTATCCTACAGTGGACTTTCTCCTTCCTACCGTGCTTTTCTCTCTTCTCTTGATTCAGTGTCTATACCCAAGGGTGTTAGTGAGGCTCTCTCCAAACCTAAGTGGAAGACAGTTATGCAGGAAGAGATGGAGGCTTTGATTAAGAATCAGACATGGGAGATTGTGGACCTACCAAAAGACAATGAGACAGTTGGATGCAGATGGGTTTACACAGTAAAGTATAAGGCAGATGGAAGTATAGAAAGGTACAAGGCAAGACTTGTTGCAAAATGGTACACACAGACCTATGGCATTGATTATCTAAAGACATTTGCGCCAGTTGCAAAGATGACTTCTGTTCGGATACTCCTTTCTCTTGCTGCCTTATACTCTTGGCCTTTGTTTCAATTGGATGTGAAGAATGCTTTCCTAAATGGGAATCTGCAAGAATAGGTGTATATGGATCTTCCAGCTGGTTTTTATGATAATGTTGAAAAGGGAAAGGTATGCAAGCTGAAGAAGTCACTATATGGCTTGAAACAATCTCTCAGAGCATGGTTTGACAGATTCAGAAAGGCCTTGATTGTTTTTGGCTACACTCAAACTCAATTTGATCACACCTTATTTGTGAAGCGCAGGGGATCTTTGGTGTCAATCCTAATTGTTTATGTGGATGATATTGTTGTCACTGGGAATGATCT